CTTTAACCATCTAGATTTTTGGCTGTTACAGTTTGAGTTTGATACATATAGAATTCTGCATGGCCAGAGTTACTTAATTACATTACAATATCATTTATGTGAATTTTTTTGACAGTCATACTTTGTCTTTGTATTTCGTTGCTTATTCCTTAAACTGTTAAAATCGCTAAAAAGAAACTTAAAACAATTTGCCCTGACTGGGATTTGTACCCAAGACCTCTCACATCCTTAAATAGCGTCTTACCCCTGGATCACGGGTTTCCAATAGAGTTATAAGAAAACGGTCTTATTCATTTACAAGTACCAAAAAGGTATTTTGTATATATCTTAGTCAGATTTACTGGTGATTTTACTTAATATTTGCACTTTTCAAATACTTGCCTTACAACTTTCTATATCATATTGCACAATCGATGTGAATAAGCCAGTGTCGCGTAATAATCACACGTTGTAGCGTAACCAGTTCCACGGTTGATACATCTTTTTGTTGTTTTTTACAACCGTTTGAAAAACGGGTCGTATTATAGGAACGCCCCTGGGTCCACTTTTGTCCAGACCATATCTCCTACACGCATAGAGGGATTTTGATTAAACTTCATAGAAATGTCATCACTATAAGAAACCGCGTCGCGCGAATGAAATAGGTCTCTAAGTCAAAGGTCAAGGTCACACTTAGAGTTCATTGAAAAATGCTTGACCGAACCAAACTTCTACATGCATACGAGGTATGATCAAAAAGTTCTCGACCCGATAAACTTCTAGCCACTGACATTTATACACGATTCGTCGATACCGATATCTTATTGAAGATTACTGACCGAGTTACACGCGGTTTCACACAGATTAAGTAACATAAAACACACTTTGATCAGTAGAGGGTGTTATTTAGACCAAACGGAGAAAGTTGAAATCAGAGCCGACATAAAGTACCTCTGTAAGAAATCCATGAAGACTACATGGATACACTTGGGAAGGAGTCCCATTCATAAAGCACTGTGAAAAAAATGGGCTCTGAATTTAGGAGGGGCAGGGAGAGCATTGGAGATGGCGGCCACCAACGATGAAACTGCCGAAGCTGTGCACAATCTGGTCAAGTTAGACAGAAGGCGAGACCTGTGAAGCATTGGTAGGGAAGTGGGTATAAACTTTGGTTCAGTTCAGGCAATTCTGACTGATTTTTATGGGATGTCAAATGTTTCCGATAGATGGGTCCACATACAGTTGACTGACGACCAGAAACGGATCAGACTTGACATTTCAAGATATCTTTTGTCTTTTTATAATAGACTGACAGCATACAATTCCCTGATTAGTGTATTGACCTTAAATCTTATTAAAATTACCTTCATATCTAACTTAATGTCGTTATAGATTTTGGCGATGCAAATAGTATAGTATGCTTCATTATATATGATCAAAAAGGGAGGGGGCATAGAAAAGTTTTCCAAAATTTTGCTTAGAGAAATCAAAGTATTGATGGCGATTATCAAGGAAGGTCTGGTAGTATTTCAATGTCTAAAAATGAGAGGTTGTTTCACGAAACCTACAAATGCAAATAGCTGATGGGAAAATTCTTAATAGGTCAGCTGAAGTCAGATAAATTTGATTTTACATTTTCCAAAGTAGAACTGTTTATTCTTCAGCAAAAAACATCTCTCAATTGTATCATAGTTTGGGGACCTTTCTGTTGAAAATGTGTCCGAGTTAAATAGTACACATGTACACGACAGTGCGTTAACTGGAGTGCAGGTATTAGTTACCCGGAGAGACGGCAGAGAAAGTGAAAGCGACAGAAATATCTATTTAGATGCTCGTTCATTGGTTATTTTTCTCCGGGGTTTCATATTGTGACAACAGGGAACGTGTTTTTATGTTTGACTATGATACAAAAGAGAAAGAACATCAAACGCTTGGCAAGCTGATTAATACTCGGGGGCTACACCCCTTCGTACAAATAAGATAGTCTTGTGTTTCGATGCTCTTACTATTACTTAATGGTCATATTAGCACACGTTTCTGTATCTTCTATGGTACATCGTGTTCCCATTTTCTTTTCAATGTCACCGGATGACACTTCCCGAGGAAATTCCTTTGGAAATGTTCATTAAATAACATCGCCTGTCTTTTGATTTTCTAATGTCATGTATCTGACGTACTTATTATTTTTATTTTAAATCTATTTATCTTCTTTTCTCTTCATATTACAATCCCGTTAAATCAATGTTTTGATAGTAATTATATTAATATGCTTTTAAATACATAGTATTTTATTTTACATTTTACCCTTTATCCAAATTGTAGTTTTCATTTCATTAAATAAAGTTGATGATATACAACTTTCAGTAATTTTCTTCAATTATTTGTTCATTCGTAAAAATGATAGACTGATATCAAAAGTTTAGAAATTTGTACAAGTTCTAAGAGCGTTTCAAATTTTCGATGTAAAAACATTTACAGAACCTATTTAATTTTGGTTAATGTTTAAAAGATTGTAGCAAAAACACAGATGTTTAATTTAAATAATACCATTATTATTTATTATTTATGAATATGCATGGTTTAAGTAGGCTTAGAAAAGAAGTACACGTATTATTTGTGAAGTTTCATAATATATATTTCAGATTTTGTTTTCATGGTGTATATGGTTAAATGTTAGCAACAATCAGGTAGAAGGAGGTAACTTAATTTACATCAATCTTTATCACAGATAGTTATGTAATATTTATGTTTGCTAACTGAAAACGTATTGTATTGTTCAAATTAAAAGAAAATACATACATGAAAAACAAAAAGGTGGTGGAAATGCTAATGAAATGAAATATTGTTTTTCCCCATTACAGAATATGATGAATTATGTATAGAAGATTGTGCATGCTGTATAGATAGAAAATGTGGACCAGGGCATTGGTTTTCTACAGATTGTACTCTAGGCTGTATTGATGGTCATAGAGGTGCTCGATGTTATGAACTATGTACACACAATTGTACAAAATGCCTTTATGATGTAGATACGTGTACTGCATGTTATGATGGCTATTACCCCGGCCCTGCTAGTGACTGCACATCGAAATGTTTACCCGGGTGTAAATCATGCACTAATGGTACCGAATGCACATCGTGCAAGGAGGGATACAATAACGACAATGGTGACAATGATTGTCGTAATCGTTCCTGTTCTGAAAATTGTAATTGTGATAATGGTCAGTGTACATCATGTAAGGACGGATATTACAAAATATGAAAAACAAGATCAACAAGGAAAGGCGGCGTTCAATACAAGTAATATATGTAATAGTTTATGTCCAGTTAACTGTGCCACGTGTTTGTCGAATACGTATTGTGGATCGTGTAAGAATGGGTATTATAAAGGTAACCAGTACGACAACAGTAAGCTCCCCTTGTTGAATGACTGCACATACAAATGTCTAAATACCTGTGAACAATGTTTGTCCTATAACAGTTGTTCACTTTGTAAAACTGGTCTTCATGGTGCAAACTGTGAGAAAAGTTGTTCAGCTGGTTGTATGTCAAACACTTGCGATATACTGACTAGAAATTGCCATTGTACTCCTAATTTTGCTGGAGAAAGATGTGACAAATGCAAAATCGGGAAATATGGAAATTTGTGCGATCAACAATGTCCAGCAGGGTGTAAAGTATACATGTGTGAAAAGGATTCCGGTGATTGTACAGAAGGATGTACTAAAGAAACGATCGTTGGGGATAAATGTGATGTTTGTTTAACAGGCTGGTTTGGACAACAATGTAACATGTCTTGTTCTGTCGGCTGTTAGCATCAGCAATGCAAGAAAAGTAATGGCGAATGCTCAAATGGATGTCTTGATGATTTTGAAGGAGAACAATGCAATCACTGTATGCCTGGTAAATTTGGAGAATTTTGCCACAGTGACTGTCCAAATAACTGTGACGAGAAAGGCTGCTTGAAAGGCTCTGGTAATTGTATTAATTGCCATGACAACTTCGATGGAGAGAAATGTGATAGATGTCGTCATGGTTTTTATGGTTCACTTTGCTCTGAGAGATGTCCGACTAATTGTTTGAGCGGTGTATGTGACAGAGATACTGGCATGTGCTCTGATGGCTGTGTCGTCAATTATTCTGGTGACAGATGTTGTATAAATAATAACAACTGTATCACATGTTTGTCAGATACTAGTTGTAAACAATGTAAGTCTGGATACTTTAATGACCAATGTGACCAACAATGTCCTCACAACTGTCTAAAGTCCTGTCATATCGAAACAGGTCTTTGTGATGGTTGCAAAGGAAACTTTTATGGTGATAAATGCAATTTTGCATGCGCCTCTACATGCAAGATTCAAACAACAACGAGTGGAAGAATATGTCAGCAAAGTAATGGAAATTGTCTTCTTGGATGCGTAGATGGTTTCCATGGTTTACGATGTTCTGAGAAATGTTCTGTTCATTGCAACGGTACACTTTGTAAGCAAGAAAACGGCCAATGTATAAAAGGTTGCCAAATTAGAGTAAAGGATGACCACATTTGCCCTCTTGATTTAGGTAAGATTAATTTAAAACAGCTCGATTTTGAACCATATATTTGTAATGATGATGGTGGTGAAGGGGGATGCTGATAATGCTGATGCTGTTGCTGTTGGCTACGATGATGAAAATAATGTTGATGATGATGATTTCAATAGTAGGAATAAGTATAGTTACTGCCATAGCAATTATACACGTATTTACATATAGAGTATAAGTATTCAATATGATATGCAAGTCATAAAGTCATATAATAAAATGTTATGCCCTGGTGAATTTATAGAAATACACAATGTTTAAACTTTACAATATGTCATGTATTATACCCATGTAGCACGCGTTTTAGATCATTGTGCTGTTTACCGATGTTTTTTTATGGAATAAATTTTTAGACTCAAGCTCCTCAGAGCAGTCAGTAAATACCGCTGCTATATCACTTGGAACAATTCTTGCTGATAAATAGTTGTTAACATCATGCTTGTGGTTACGAAATATCGGAAAAGGTAAAGATTGTTTATATATTCAAACGAATTAATGTCCAGATAGAACCTAAATAACATGAACGTTAATAAAGCTGTACAATATATTAAGTATTTCAAAAATACCTTTGTAGTTCCACTTAAAAAAAAACACCAGTGAAGTGAAGTGAAGATATTTTCATGACCCTCTCTTTGGCTAAGCCGTTGGCATTGACATTGGTTAATCTTTTGTTAAGGTCCTTTTTATCAGAAACTTTAAAACTTATTCACTTCACACTTGGTATACATGTTTGTTATCATTAAAAGACGCCATTACAAAAGCCATTTCAAAGTAATGTCCCCTTTTCAACTTAGACTTTTAGCCCTGTTAAAACTTTTTGCGGAGGTTTATTTTCTCAGACACCAGAACTCTTAAGACTTGTTATACATGTTACAACATTTCAGAAGGGAAGCTATGTCCTTTTTACTGTTTTTTTTTTCTGGAAAAAATGTCACTTCAAACTTGGAAAACTTGTTACATTTTTAAACTGGAATGCACTTCTAAAGGACATGTAATCTCTTATTTTTCTTTGTTATGCCCCCCCCCTTTTTTTGACTTTGAATTACTTGAGTAACTTTTTTAAGTTACATTTTTCTAAAACAATCAAGAATATTCAGTGAGTGTTTAGAAAACAGAAAGCTAGTATTTTATAGAAATTTTAAATGTAATATTAATTTTGAAAAATATCTAGACTGTATAGCTATATTGAAATATAGGAGTAGTCTTGCTGCCTCTAGGTCCTCCTCTCATCAATTGATGATAGAGAAAGGAAGACATATTGGTATTCCAAGGGAAATCCGATTTTGTATACACTGTCGATATGAAATTGAATGCGAATTTCATTTTCTGTTAAAATGTCCTTTATATATGATAATTTACGTCAACAATTTATACCAAATAAGTATTGGGAACATCCAAATAATCATACATTTAACTTATTAATGTCATGCAAAAGTGTTAAGACAATACGAAACTTATCAATGTTTTTATATTATGCATTTAAACTGCGAAATGAATCTATATGTTAAATGTCTTTAATATGTTAGTTGCTAAATCTTATTACACAATTATATATTTTTGTGAAAATTGGCTAAAATGCTGCTCTGACAACATGTCATTGTACTTTATACAACTCTATGTAAACCTGTATATTATGTGATGTTTATATTATCCTAACTACCTGCCATGTCATTATGCTATTGTGTTTATATATATATATATATACTATATATATATATATATATATTATGTATACATGTGTATGGGCCGGTGGCCTGAATGCAAATTTGAAATAAACTCATTGAATTTTACCTAGAGTATTATCAAAATATCAAATTTGAAATGCATTTGCAGGAGGGAGATGATCCTGAAAGCCATCAGATCAGATTAGCTTTTTACTTACGTGCATTTAAAATTACTTTTTATCAAATTATTGCCTTGGCAACAATGAATCTATTACAACAGTTTTTGAGTACTGTATATTTATCAGTTACAAATCAAATGATCTAAATGAAATAGGTCTAACATTTCATTTACATTACAGGGTCAATGATACTTACAAGACAAAAGGGCCTGTTTATGAAAACTCTGGTAAATATATATATTTTTTTCTAACAAATAGTTGATTTTTTGTGCCCCCTCTATAGAGGGGCATTTAGATTTACCTTGTCTCTCCATCAGTCATTCCGTCTGTCCGTGCTCATGTTTTTTCGCACGTGGTTCAAAAAGTATTTGACCTAGAGTCATGAAGCTTGACTCATGGAATGTTGGTCAGCATGTGTAGTTGTCCACCTAAGTATTTGCGTGTGGATTTATTTAGTATTGTAAAATGTTTGCCCTTGACTTTACACTTTTTCAACTTGTGTCGCACATAGCTAAAAAAAGTATTTGGCCAGGAGTCATGAAAAATTACAGGAATGTTGCTCAGCATGTGAAGTTGTTCATCTTGGGTTTCGCTTGTAATTTTTTTCAGTTTTGTCTGAGTTATTGCCCTCGCATCAGTAAACATTTGCAATTCTCAACTTGTGTTACACATCATCACATAGCTCCTAGAGTCATGAACTTTTCGGTAATCTTGCTCAGCATGTGAAGTTGTGCACCTTGGGTTTTGATTGTGAATTGATTCTGTTTGGTCGAAGTTATTGCCTTTGACTTAGTAAAAAATTTGCAATTTTCATTTTGTGTCGCAAATTGCACAAAAAATATTTGGCCATGAAATATCTCTGTGCATCTGGGGTTTAACATGTGGATGTGTTTCAGTTTTGTCATAGTTATTGCCCTTTACTTAGTATAAATTTGAAATTTTCAACTTATTCATGCATAACTCAAAAAGTCTGTGACCTGTAGGCCTTAAAGTTGACAAGAATGTTGGTCAGCATGTGTATTTATATAGTGTAGCTCAAAAATATTTGAACTAGAGTGTTGTGGCACCCGTGTCCTATGGACACTTTTCTAGTTCATCATGAATTTTATGCTCTTCATATCCATTTTAAACATATCTATTTAAGCTCGATTGCAAGACAAGTTCTAGCACTATTGTTTATCATTTTCGTGTCATCTTCCTAGAACCAACCAATACTAGTGTAATATAAAGAAATGTGGTCGTGGCCCCCGAGTAGGGATCGAACACACGATCCCTTGATTGAGAGGCAGACGCCATAAACAATAGGGCACCGCTAGTTCTGACCAATCAAAGTCGGAAATATGCAGCCTTGTTAGCTAATTGATGTAACGAGAGAATAAGCGGAAACCATTTTAACATTAGGTTATTGTTACCTTGACCTTTGACCAAGTGACCTAAAAAAAGGGGTCATCTACTTACTAGTGATGATCAATAAAAATGTGAAACACAAAGACTTGATAACAAGTAGTTTTGAAGATAATGAAAGGAAACCATTCAGACATTTAAGGTACCTTTGATCTAAAGACCCCACAATTGATAGGGGTCATCTACTAGTTATAGCCATTCAATATGTGAAATAGAAGATTTAGTGATAAATAGTTATCAAGATAATGAGCGAAACCATTCTGACATTTAATTCCCTGTGTCCTTTGAACTAGTGACACCAAAATAAATAGCGGTTATCTACTACATATGAATAATCTATATGTGAAATATGAAGACATTGTGATAAATAGTTTTCAAGATATGAGCAGAAACCATTCTGATATTTAAATTCCCTGTGACCTTGACCTTTGAACAAAATACCCCGTAATCGATAGGGGTCGTCTACTAGCCATTTAATACGTGAAATAGAAGATTAAGTGATAGTTATCAAGATAATTAGCGAAACCATTCTGACATTTAAGGCCCCTGTGACATTGACTTTTGACCTAGTGACCCAAAAAGTCAATAGGGATTATCTACCAGTTATGACCAATCAGTATTTGAAATATGAAGACTTTGTGACAAATCGTTATTTAAATAATGAGGGGAAACCATGTTGAGACCCGACGGATGAACAGACAGATTTAAGGTTCCTGTGACCTTTACATTTGTCCTAAATACACCACAATCGATATCGGTCATCTACAAGTTATAAGCAATCAAAAGGTGAAGTATAAAGACTTAGTGATAAAAAGTTTTCAAGATAGTGAGCAGAAACCCTTCTGACATTTAAGACCCATGTGACCATGAACTTTAAACTAGTGACCTCAACATCAATAGGGGTCATCTATTAGTTATGACCAATCAGTATGTGAAAATGTGAAATATAAAGACTTTGTGATAAATAGTTTTTAAAATAATCAGCGGAAAACATGTGGTTTACCGACGGACAATCAGACCGACGGACAAACAGACCGACAGACCGACGAACCGACAATTTAGATAAAATATTTAAATAATTTTTCAAATATTTCCAGGCATCGAACTAGAATGTGGAAATTCAGCAAATGCTGGCAGTGTCAGCAAGCATGGAATTGTACAAGGTATTTCCTGGTGTGTTTTTCTAGGGTTTTGATTGACTTCTTCAAATCGTACTTTACATTTCATCTAAAATATATGTAATCACTAACAATTTCTGTCGGACCTATAATCACATAACATACCTTGAATATTATTATGGATTTAGCTTGATAATATGAAATATTGGGCACTGACTCTTATTTCATTTGAATATTTCATTGAAAATGTAAATTTGTGCCTTTTTGCATTACTGATTGTTATGTCATCCTCAGATATCTTTCATCAAGCGGTTGCATTTTATTAAAGTTAAAATGATTTGCTAGTCTTTTAATCATACACGCAATATAAATATACGAGGGCATTGTAAGTTGTCTTTATTGTTGTATTTGTTGTTCAAAAGATTATAGATAGCATGTATTAAAATTGACACTTGTATATTTCAATCATATTTTATAATTCGTTATGTAGTCATTTACTCGGTAAGTTGCATTTATGTATCACAAAAATACTAGTATATAGAAAGGTTTATTTTTCAGCATCAAACAGCGACACTGTGTTAAAGTCACTTGACTATGAGGATCTTGGAAGAGTTCAAGGTATTTGTGAATTAATTGTCCGTAACATCGTTATGTAAACACCTAAGTTATATAGTACATATATATTATAATGAACTGTTAACTATTTATATAGACTTTTCATTTACATTTTAATTGGTTTCATTAATTGATTTTAAAAATATGAATCATTTCGTTTCGTTTTTTTACAGAATCCGAGCATGAATATGGACAGATTCTTGCAGACACTGGATTTCTTGAATGACTTATTACAGTTAGCATACACGAAGATAAATGGTCATCAACAATCGTTTTAACTTGCATTAAAAGTATCACGTCAATAGAGTAACAATTTGAATTATAAACAATGGACTGCAGTATCAAACACAAACTCATTCTTTATTGTATAGTGATGAATATTTGTCTGATATTTTCATGTGTCTATTGTGATTCTAAATATCGCACTATTGAAGGTACGAACAGTTATAACGGATGTGCATAATAAATAAAATTAACCATACTAGACTATTTGTTTCTTTAGAGAAGAAGGGAATCTACGATCAATTTATGAATACTCTCAAGTCTCTTTATACGGATTTAAAAGCATGTGTCAAACTCAATAACAATGTCACTGATTTCTTCTCATGCAATATCGGCACCCGCCAAGGGGACAAAACAAGTTCGACAATTTTGATCTCATTGTAGATGAGATGTCTGTCCTTTTACGTGAAAATTGTGAAAGTGGTATTTTTATCACAAATGATATTCCAGATATTTTTTGTTTGATGTTTGCAGATGATGTAGCAGGGTGTGCCGAAACTGCATTTAAGCTTCAACAGCAAATAAATATTATTGACAGCTTTTGTTGTGATACTGGGATGGATATAAATATGGATAAGACTGAAATTACGGTTTTTTCGAAATGGATGTCCTCTTTCGTCGATATGAGCACTGGTCGTAACGTGGGACACAATCAATATTACCTCTCAGTATATATCTCAGTACATGGGTATCTTACTTACATCAAGGTTGTCATGGTCATCCCGCTCATTCTAAGTTAGTATCTCAGGCGCAAAGAGCTCTCTTTGCCATAAAGGCTTATCAAAGACCTTTTGGTTAGTTTTTCTGTTGTTGATTCATTTAAGATTTTTGATTCCATGTTCAAACCCGATACTTTGTTATGCATATCAAATTTGGGGCTATGAATATGTAGAGACAATAGAATCTATTCATAATAAATTTTGTAAAAGTATTTTATATGTACGTAGAACTACTTATACATGTATGGTTCTTGGTGAATGTTGTAGATTGCCATTGTGTACTACATATTATATAAATTGTATTCGATATTTGTGTAATTGCCATCCCATAGACATACAAAGCAATTATATAACATGTTACAATCCCTAGATGATGCCGGTAGAAACTGCTGGGCAACCAAGATTGGAACGCTTTTGTACAAATATGGATTCAGTACGATGTCAATGCTTTTATTAGAATGTTTTGACATAGAGTTGTTAATCATTGTACACTAGACTGGCAAACAGTTCTTGAAACCTCTAGTAGATGTGATAATTAAAATAACTTTAAAAGCCTACTTACTGTTGAAACATAGTAGTATTTGACCATGGATATTCAGTTCAAGTATAGAATTGATAGGTCAATGTTTCGCCTTTCAAATCAGGCTGAATATTAAATTAGGTAGAAATAATAATGTTCTAAAAGAAAATCGTATATGTAACGTTTTGCCAACAGTCAAATAATGATAATACAATTGATTGTGAATACCATGCCATTTTAAATGTGTTCAATATGATACTTTTAGACAAATGCATTTATTTAAATGGTATATATATATTATATATATATATATATATATATATATATATATATATTATAATATATATATATATATATATATATATATATAATATATATGGAACAAAACCTCAAGATTTCTATGCTCAAAACCCTGGCATTGTTAAATATATATACACTCCTACATCTATTTTTATATATCAGCTTATGACAATAATTAGTGACACTTAAAAGTTCGCATTATACAAATACTTGACATTTTATTATGTGTTATACCTTACTGTGTATTTTTGGCCAAAGGCCTCTATGTACAAATAAATGATTTGAGTTTAGTTGAGTTTAGTATATACATGTTACACGTATAACGCAGATGCTAAAATAATTGAAAGAGCATAACGGACATTAAAACAGCTTACATGCGGCCATGTGCATAACAATATACGCCGTAAAACAGATACCAAATTATGCTAGTTAAGAACGATCCGTTATATGTTTGCTTTAAATGATGAAAAAAAACAATGAATATTATGATATACCTATAGATCTATGTGATAATGAACAAAGATCAATGTGACAGTATAAACGGATGAATTCTATAATTGATCATTTAGGATTTTGGATTTACTGATATAAAAGTGGTTTTTTTTATATCAATAAGAATAATCTTGATTTATTTCATGCTTTTCAGTGGATAACTGATATATCGTGAAAATTATTTTTGATAATTTCACAGTGAAAATTATCAAAATATAATTTCACACTTTTCAATGACAAAACTACTTTTTTAAGCTTGTTCCCATGTGGTATCTCAAAATATTTTTGCTGACAATTCTGACAATGTTAGGGTGTTTAGAGAAAAGCAAAGCTGAAGTTGATAAATAACTTAAATGTCAAAAGCAATAAAAAGAAGAAAACTTACTTCTATCCATTCAAATTACCAATCACCAAATATCGCTTCTTATTTTTTTGTTTCATTTTAACAGTCGGAAAAATACATTCCTTCCACATGCAAAACTGTTCTTGATGACATTTGGGCATATTTAAGTATCCTACGAGTAATAACTGCCGTATGCTTTCTGAAAACATGAAAAGCAATGGCAGCCATCAGCCCGAATAATAAGTAAACAACCCAGCGTTTGTAAGGCAGCCTTTCAACAATGCCAAGTTTTCCGATTTCCTAGCCGCTTTTTGAATGTTTACACATCTGTCAATACTTATTAATTACAATCCTCAAATTTAAAAAGGTGTATGACTAACAAGTCCAATTGATATCCCTCTGAATCAAACACGTGATTATTTTCCTCCCGTGAAATACACAACTTTAAAAAATGGCGGCCGCTTACATTTCACAAAGCCAGGTCTAATATAGATTCGCAGTAAGTAACAGAAATATGGATGGATGGCTGGACTTTTTCTCCTACTAGAATTGTTTGTTTTTATTGTTCAAACAAGCGATCATTCATAATTATTAATAGAATGAATAATGTCACCGCCATTTAACGTTGATTGTCGGACTTATTTTTCAGCCCAAGACTTCTTGTATTTAATGAGAAATTCGACTGAATGAGGTTCTCAATGGGGAAACAGACTTTAATATTAACGTTAATATTAAGGAAATTTTGTTTAACATGTTTTTAAGCATGAAATAAAGGAAATTTGTTTGTTTGTTGTGTAAGATGTAATTTTATTTTATCTCGTGAACTTTAAAAACAGTATTTTCACCCGTGGCTAAAATTTCATCTTACACACAAACAAACAAATATCCTCTTTGTAATTACAAAATAGGATAATACACCAGATTATCCAAGATTTAGCAAAACGGTATTTCGGCTCTCCTTAAATTTGAAAGCTGTTGTAAAATAGCTGTAAAATGGCTCTAAAAACAATTTACCTCTAATAAAAATGGCTCTAACAACTTAGCTCTTCTTGGTGTTATTTTTTCTTCATTAAAGCTTTTTGCATTAAATTAAAGATAAAACATTGTTGATTTCTACTATCTATTACCCTTTCATTTCTATTTGAATATTTCATACATGATTGTTTTAATGATACTGAACATTAAAATTACATATGCATAGTCAAATGTAAAAACAAGTAAGTAATAGGAACATTGTAAAATGGAGGTTGACTTACTTTGAAGAGACATCAATATCAATAATATAATTTAAAATCTATGTTTACAAAATATTTTTTTATAGCTTCAAGAAAATATTATGTCATTGTTGTGCTTACATTTCCATAAGTATCGAAATCTTAGAAGCAACATATGCAAGTTTTACTTCGGCCGAGTGTTTTGTCAAGATCTGTTAGGCTTATTATAAACTCATCAACATATAGAATTCAAGTAAAGGATTACAAGTGAAATACACTGTAACCATGTTAATGGCATGATAAACAACATGTAAACAAATCATATGCCTCACTGACTATTGTATTTAGGATCATTTCAATCAATTGATTCCTAGTTTAACAATATTATTAGAACAATCAAAACGCTCTTTTATTTATAAGCTATTCAAAAAATAAATATGTATGACAGGAACACGCTCAAAATTTTCATATTTGACAGCATTGTAAAAGAATAATTGTTTTAATTTTAGATTGATTCGTCACCTTAGTGCAAGGACTTAACCCGTTACTGTACTAAGGTGACAGACTGTCCCAGAAACAAGCAAAACAATTATACACAATCTAGTGTAGAAAAGTGTTTTTTTTTTCATGAAGTCAATATCATACTTAAGGTAATACACCTCTAATGCACTATCTCCACTTTGAAAAGTGTACAAATAGGCTAGAATCACTGTCAAGTGTATTGAAACTGAGAGGCGTAGGTTCAAACCCAGAAGAAGCAACTTATTTTTCCTTTTTAACATTTTTTATGAATCTCTCAGATCCCTAATGGAATAAAAAAGTGTTCCATTTTAATTATATAATTATTGTAGGTATTTATTTAATAATGCCAAATTTAATAGCCAATAATTTTATGATACCAGACATTTTCAAAGTTAAATAAAATAAATATAAATATACATTTAAGAAAATTTAGGCAAACTTTGAAAAAAGCCCCTCATTGCGGAAAATTTTAAGGATATTTTAAATAAGGCTTTTGACATAGGGAAATGGTCAAATAAGTGTTTAAAGTGGGTGGGGCAGGGTTACATTTGTATACAATAATGGTCAATATAATTTGTTACCTGAATGTCATTATTTGTTTCTTAACAATGAGCAATAGGAACACATTTTTCATAATGATGATATAATAGATAATTTAGAGTTTCCTCATTTCTGAAAAAAAACCTTCTAATGGCAAAGTTTCAGTTCAGAAAAGTGTCCATAACTCATAAACCACACGGTAAATTTTGTTTAAATCGTGCACTCATTTTCCATACATTTAGGGCATATAACTGTCCTATGTTGTCAATTTTACAGTTCCTTATAGTGTTCATTAGAGGTGAACTACCTTAACTGAGCATTAAAAGTTGTTATGTTTGCTACATCAAATGTAAAAAATTCTGAAAAAAATTATTATTTAAGATTTATCACCTTATTCATATCACTTTCCCATTATAAAGATTGTAAGGTATATGCATAACTAGTTCCCATCCTAAGTATCATTTACTAAATACAGCCAATGACATAAACTCTTATAATATATGAGTTTTCTTATAAAAACAAGATATGGACGTGAAAAATCTATATTAGTGTCAAAAGAGTTGCTCGAGTTTCCTCATTTATTGCTTTATTTATTCTTAAAATTACAACCACATTTTTCTAACCGGAAAACATACATAGGTCTAACACCACTAAAAAACTTCTTTTACCATGGCTACTTCGATTGTACATCTATAGTATGTATACCCTCCAGAACAAATTTGTATATATATACAAATACAAATATATATATATATATATATATATATATATATATATATTATGTGTGACTCATTAATATATGTTCCAACTCTTACACTCGGAAAAAGCTTCGTTCTGTTTTCTTCTTTTATATTTGATTGATTGATGAAATAAAAAGATAATATTTAGGGACAAAAGACACGATGATTCCGAATCTAGCGTAAATTACATGCAAAAATTTATCTTACTTCTGTTGATAAACAAGACAGCTTTTTCTACATGTATTTTGTTGTAAATGTGGTTTTGTAGAACTAATCCTATTAAATACAGGTAAATTAATCTTTTGATAGATTATCAATATTGCCAACATAATATTATTCTTTCATGTTCTTTCCATTTCAATAGCACTGCATATTATTCATAATTCTATTTTGCATTTCGAAATTGTTTAAGCGAGTTCAGTTTGCAATTTGCTGTCAATTGGCTAGGATAAAATTGAAAAGTAATAAATTACGTGCGTCAAAATGGTTGCTGTATTTATCAACAGAAATTTTATTTTTATTTCTCTTGCGATTTATTTCTGTTTTTCAAACGCACAAATTTTGGAAAAGGAATGTGCTTAATTTGAATCCAAATTAGATAGACTGTCTTATATCCCACAAACAGATGCGACATTAATTGTACTTCATGGTAAATCATTGGTGTCGTGCATTTATCAATGTCAAAGTCTTGAAATGCCATCGTCGTACTTCGTTGAAAATAATTCTACATGTTATTGTAGTTCTGATGATGTCTACAACATGGACAAACATGATGATGCTGACGCAACTATTATCCGGGGAATAAGAAAGGAAAAGGTGTCAATAACGTACATTCAAGTAAGCATTATAAAGATAATTATTTGTTTTATATTTTTGTGTTAATTATCTAGCATCTTTTTTTCTAAACTAATCTTAAAGATTTGTAGCTGTCAATTTTAGTACCTTTTGATAGAGAATGTTTATAAACAATTATCATAAACTATTACTTATATAAAATATATCGTATAAACTAAATCGCCTAATGACACGGCCAATTCGGAGGAGCTCTTTTTTATAGCTTAAGATATTATTTGTATTTTACGTTTAAAATATCTAATGATTTCTTATAATTTCATAATATATAATATACATTTTTATTTTGATAATGATCAGTTGACATGTGATTGTTTATAGAGATAAAAAATAAACAAAATGTTTAATGTTTCAAGGAAGCGTTTATTATCATGTTTTACAGGAAGGCAGTCAAAAAGTAAAAAGAATACACAGGCAACCCGAGCCAATTGACTGTCTTGCGCTGTATCAACAAGGCTATACTGAAGACGGTGTTTATGTGATCAAACCAACTGGAAGTACTGCTACTGATGTGTGGTGTGATATGACCAATGGTGGATGGACGGTTATACAACGCCGGCAAGACGGATCAGAAGATTTCTACCGAAATTTGGAAGACTACAAGATTGGATTTGGGAACAGGATTAGCGAGTATTGGCTCGGACTTGAACATATATACTATTTGACAATAAACAACACTTCACTCTATGTATACTTGGAAACGTTTGAAATTGACAATGTTGATCCAGTTTCTGCTTTTGCTGAATACTCAACCTTCAGAATTAAGGATGAGAGTGATAAATACAGATTGTCGGTTAGGGGATATGGCGGTTCGTGTGGCGACTCAATGTCGTATCATAACAATAGTCGATTTACAACAAAAGACAGTAATAATGACCAACACGGCGCCGAGAATTGTGCTGTGTCCTATAGCGGAGCTTGGTGGTACAAAGGTTGTTATCTTGTGAATCTAAATGGATTGTATCCATACACCAATGGTTTAGAGACAAATAAGGGCATTACTTGGACAAGTTGCTGGTCTTATTACTCGCTCAAGAGATCTGTAATGAAGATAAGGAGAAACAATTGAAATTTTATTAAGTGTCAAGTTTATTGACAAATCGATAATGAACATTGGCCATTTTCACACATTCACTGACTATATGGCAATTACATTAACATCAATATAACTATAAACATGTTTACATTTTTAAACTGATACAAGTGAATAAACAACAATTTTATACTTCAGAGATAATGAATAACTCGTTAAGAAGCTGTGAGAAGTTCCACATTTCATTGACTCATCTATATATTTTGCTATTTTAAAAAGTGTAAATTTACTTTTTGTTGACATAAGCTACTTTAATTTATGAATTTTGGCCATGGGATATTTCCTAAGGATTGTCTTCTTAAATCATCATATTTATTACAACATAGCAATAAAATGGTACTCAGATTTAAAAACATTTTGATTACATAATTTACATAATCTATTCTGTCCATCAATCCCATTTAATCTTCCTTTTCAATTTCCAAATTTTGAAAACTAAGTCTAGTAAGAGATTTTCTTGTAGCCTCATTGCTTATTTGAATTAAATAATCTTCAAATTCAAAAAATTGACTCCGGATCCTTTTTATAAACAGATTTAAATAATTTGCATTACATTTAATAGTGGCTTACTGACACAAAACGTACAGGTAAAAGAGAGTGAAGGTAAATTCTCAGATAGACAATGGCAGTAGACGGTAACACAATAAAAACAATACAATTACAATACAAAGCGACATTCACATATTGCTTGTGGTTCAAAACAGTCTAATACAGAGTTGAGCTTAATTTTTTTTTTTTGCTTACTGCCCTATCGTTGAAGATTGAGACATTACAGTGGCATACTTACATAATGAGATACTGATGAGAGACATCGTTAGGACTCTATTAAGTTATGTATAGTAGGTTTTGCATCGAATTCCTGCAAAGTTCCTTTTTCACAAAAAAGGATGCAAGAATACGAAAGACACATTTGATTTAACAGAGAACTTCGCACTGAATCATTGAACGAGATTTTGTTGAGCATTTGCGTAGAACTTTGTAGAAAAATTACACAGATTCTAAACATTATTACTGTAACAGTTGTATTTTTGCAAAGCTTAAAACTTTGCAACTATCAACTATCAACAGACGTAAATATGAGAACATACTAAAATTCGATATGTTAACGGTAAAGCAAACTAATATAGAGAACTTATAAAGAACTAACATAGAGAACTAATGTATTTTAATTAGACAAAGTGTAGTCGTTTTATGCCATTTATTTTTGACATACTCGAAAGATGAACATCAACAATTACAGCAAGACCATGAAACACTGTTCCATTAATGCAAAGTAGCTGGTCATGTTTCTGATGAACAGCATATATTTGTATCATTGTATATAAAGGTTTTTAAAAATAGCTTAATATCTGATAAAACATTAACCGAATATTATAATACTGTTCCATAATACAAAGTAGCTGGCCATGTTTCTGATTTATGAACTGCATATATTTGTAACATTGTATATAACATTATTTTGAAAAAAAAAGAAGCCAAATATCCGCTAAACATTGACCGAGTATAATAATACAGTTCGCACAGGTTCAAATATCATAATCAAAATTAAACACTTTTATGATATTAAGATTCTACTAATGCGCACTTACAAAATAATTTTAAACTGCACAACTCACATGCATGTATGATAATAAACAATCTGGAATCGAACTTGTCTAAAACATAGTTCGATGTCTAGTGTAACTATTTTCGTTTTGTCGAGACTCATATCTTGTGCGACCAGCTTTGCTTTTTATAGCATTGTAAACACATGTCTTAAATTTCTTTAAACCTAAATTTAAACTAATAGACGATTAGGAACAAATAACTGTTCCTCACGGAACACTGTTGTTATTCTATTTTATGACATATTTTCTGTTATTCACTAATAAGAAATACTCACAGAATTTGTCGCGAATTATTTTGTATGTTGTATCATGTTTATATCCTTTCTCTATTGGGAGCATTTCCTGATACTGAATATATTGTATTGTATGCAATGAATAATGAACTGAATGCTTACATTGTAAATAGAAAGGGTGATCCAGCGGAAGAATTAAATTAATCACAACAAAATTACATGACAACTGCAGACCGTTATATGATGAATAATAAAAAAGTGCAACCTCCTGACACGCCCCCTAACACCGGCGTGCGGTACTCAATTTTCAACACTGAAAAGTGCTGGACTCAATGATCCAGAAGAACCAGAAAAATATAGCCACACTGAAGTGAAGTATGGGCTACCACATGGCACTTTAAACCTGCTGTTATGATGTGTAAATATCTGGAGAAAGGGTGGTCTCTCGGAAGCATTAATAGCCAGGTTATATTGCCAGTGAACGTTTGAAAGCACTCTTATTCAAAAGATATAAGACGGAATGAATGTTATTTTCGGTTTCTTTTTACGGTCCAATTTCATGGAATAAATTCGTTTTGTAAGAAAATTACAATTGATAATTCATAGCGCAAATATCGTAAATAATAGCTATGCATGATCTTTTCTGGCATACTTCGGTAGGGGACATTATTATTTCGTTTTCGCCTACCTAACATGAATTTTGTAAGAAGTAATTGCTCGGAAAGGTTGAATCATTTTATTGTATTACAAATGTACTAGTACATGTATACATATCGTGTTGAAAATGACAAATTTCATGTCAGAAATATAAGTAAAATGTAGATTATTTATTTGTTGATTAGTATGTACATACAAACCCGAACAGTATAGCTATTAAAGGTGTTTCATATCAAATTATGTCAGTATGTATGTGGCATTTGAAAAAATGGATGCCGATTGCCTGACCTGGATTCTTCAAGTCACAACATTATATAAATATAAATAGCTTTAACCACTTTATGCTTATGCTTTCTGGCAGTTTATAAAATTTATAAAAAATACCCTTTTTTTCATTTAACATATCACTTTTGTTTTCCCTGCATTCATACAAGTTTGTCCTTACCGTGACTCTTCTCATGTACAAAATCATAAATAAAACATATACAGTTTGTGAGAAACAGTGAAATATATCATCCCGAGGAAAATACTGTTATCCGAAGAATTAGCTAACATTGATTTCCACGCGATGATATTTCTGCTGTACCCAAAAACCTGTGTTTTATATATTCTAATACCCCGAACTTATACTTCATTGGGACACTTTTTCTAAAGGTTTTTAAATTTCAGATTTTTACTGATAAAATATTGTTACAATATTTTTAGTCACATGGTACACTTGAATTAACACTAGGAAAAGCTGCCACATTAACAATACAGAATTAGTGAGGGAAAAAGATACGATTTTTTTTCCAGATGTTTAAATGTTACTGTCACGTATTGTATTCTAACATCAAAATTGCGCGGTAGTATACTATTTTAAGAAATAATTCGATGAAATGAAAAAAAAGTCTCTAGCGACTGGCAATCCTGTTGTTCTGCTCTCTCGTCAATACTAAAGCGTCGACACTCTGGAAAAATACTTGAACAAGTCGTGTTCGGTGAAATCGTTGGTCATTTTTATTTGCTATTTTTTCTCCGCTAATGAGTAACACGTTATTGAAAAATGACTAGCATTGAGCAGCTTCCCGAGCAACGGCCTCCAGCAAACTTTATCAAATAATAATAATAATAATAATAATAATAATAATAATAATAATAATATTTCAATACATACTTGATAACCCAAATGGAATCTTCCTCCAATCAGATGCCATTTTTAATCTTATTTAAAAATAACTCGAATGGCTTACCGCCATCTTTTATTCAATTTAAAAAGATTCATAAAGGCAAACCGCCATTTTGATATTAATTGAAAAAAAACTTGGCATCTCAAGAGCACTTGATAACCACTTACAGAAAGTAGACATGATATACGCTTGAAAAAGATTATCCTAATTTCAAGTGGATTAATTATGTCACTAATCCCTGATCCAGATCCAAAAAAAACACTAATAACCTTTCGCTATCCGACTGCGACTACATGTACTTCTATATAAAAATCATTTTCCATTCAACAAATTGAGAGTATTTTAGGTGCTTTTGTTCGTTATTTTCTTACTGCCTATTGCTAGCGGTAACTTATAATATTAAACAGAATTCCCTTGATTAACGATTCTGATGTTAACCTCGTTATCTGATATAGGACGTTTACGTGCTTAGATTGTACATAATTTCCAAATGACATAAGCACGTAATAATTGAATCAAAGAGTTGAATAAACGCTGTAAATTGATATTACTTATATTATCTCATCACACTTGTCCCAGAAATACAATTTTGAAGATATTCTCTGGAGGATATTAAGATTATTCTAGCCTTGAAATAGTGTTGCCACTACCAGCATATCATGTTTCGATTAATGCCGTATGCGTAGTCATTGATCAGGTTTTTTTTTTCATCTCACAACAAATGTTTAGAAACTTCATTCCATAATCAAATTTGCGAACATTTATATTTACAACATCTTCGGAATACTCGTTTCAAGAACGTATAGGTTAAAGATAAATGCTACGCCATTTTTTAAAGAGTTTTATTAAATTTTCTCACATTGTAAGTTAGAACTGAGACGATCAAGTCGGACTTTGATTTTTGTGTCACTGCGGAGGATATGTCAATGATATCGGAATTAAAATAAGTTACATTTTATTGTAAGATTGTAAAATAAAATTAATGACTCAAGCATAGATTGTGCGTGTTTTTTTGTGTTTTTTTTTTGTGTTTTTTTTTTTCTTTTTTTTTTTTTAATTTACATCAAAATTAGACTAAAACGGTTATCAATTTATTTTGTAAGAATATGTCCTCATATGCCATGAAAGACAAATATATTTGTATGCTGCACGGCCCTTATAAGCACATCGCCTTTTGAAATAGAGAAAATAAGAATCCCTAAAGAAAGCCCAAAACGGCAATATTGAATATGTTGCAGGGTCGGTTTGATTGAGCCTGTTCGTGGACAGTACTGTCAAGTGCAAACTGCCGTCCGCGCCCCTTAACACCG